ATAATTAGAATGAATAAATTAAGGAGGATCAGATGGGCAGGGCATGTAGCACACGTTGGGGAGAAAAGGGACGTATATAGATTTTGGTAGGAAAGGCAGAAGAGACCAATAAGTAGACTTAGACGTAGATGGGTGGATATTATTAAAGTAGATTTTAGAGAGATAGGATGGGTTGGTATGGACTGGACTGATCTGGCTCAGGATAGTGATCAGTGGAGGGCACTTATGAACACAGCAATGAACCTTCGGCTCCATAAAATGTTGGTAACTGCACAACTGGCAGCTTCTAAAGAAGGACTCAGCTCGATAGAATTAGTTCGTTAGTTACATACAGCAATAACTGTGCGTCATATTGTTAAAACCTGCCACGACCGCTTCCTTCCACATGATTTCCAATTCACAGTTCAAACACCTTAAAAAGGCGTCGTGAATTAAACTGAGAACAAGGCGCCCCGGGTTCGAGCGAAGGTCAGATCATGTGGGATTTATGGTGGACAAAGTGGCAGCTTTTCTCCGAATATTTCGGTTTCCCCTGCCAATCTTCGACCCACCAATTGCTCCACAATTGCCCTCACCTATCATCTGGGACTGGTACAATAGGCCAGAAGTGGCCGCAGTGCCAAGTGGATTCAGTCTCACCCCACTAAGTATAAATAAAAAACTCCAACTGGACATGAATGTAATATCATGAAAAGTGTCATATGCTGGGAAGTGACACCGTAGAAATTTCGGAGGAACATTACGCCTTCATGTTGATTGTTTGGCGTCTCTTCGAGCCGGAAGCAGCATGTCCTTCGGAAACGTCGGTACGCTTATACCAAGCTGCAGTGTGCCGTTGGCGTGGATATAGTCCGCTCTACTGCCAAATCCCTTGTTTGAGAAACACTACGATTACGAATACTGTCTCCATAGAGACACGTGGGACAGCTGGTCGATAGCAGGTTGCGCCTGCGAAGTGCGAGCTTCACTGGGCCCTCACTGAAGTCGCGGCTCCTGTGCTCCTTGCAAAGTTTCAGGATACCAACCGGCAGAGCATCTGGAACACTTGTCTTTCCTTAGATGGCTATGGCGGCTCTGGCTGGACTACATCAAGTTTCATGACATTTTAATAATAAAACTCAAATCGTGAAGTGATTTACACGGGTAACGCTAGGATATTCCGTATAAGTCCGAGGACAAACGCCCAACCCCTCCAAACTGCGGGACCACCCAATGTCGGCTGTCCTCGACTGCATATTCAATATATTCGCAGCTACCGTCCATATCTAGAGACTGTCTCCTCTACAGGCGACCTGAGGACGCGCCATGCTGTGGTGACAAGGGACCCACTTAACACGTGAAGAGAAAAGGAAACCACCCACTAGGAAGACCTAGACGTAGGTGGGAGGATAATATTAATATGGATCTTAGAGAGAGATGATGGGGTAGTACGGACTGGATTGATCTGGCTCAGGATAGGGACCAGTGGAGGGCTCTTGTGAACACGGCAACGAGCCTTCGGGTTCCATAAAATGTTAGGAAATTCTTGAGTAGCTGAGCGACTGGCGGCTTCTCAACAAGGCCTCAGGCCCATGGAGTTAGTTAACACCAGAATATTTCCCAGGGCCAGAGGGGGCAGTCAGAATATATGCTTACAAACTTAGTTTTGAGCCCTTTAAGAACACATTAATTGTCACCCTTGATTATTCAAGAGAGAAGAATAAAATATTCTAATAACAATTTCAATTGATGTTATTAATATTTGCCCTACTTCCTTATTTCTCTTCAATATTAATTTCTTCCAAAAGATTTGGGGTGGCGGTGTCGAATATCTGGGGCTACCCCCCAATCTTCAGACTCCTATGGTAATAAGACACGATTCACATTAAGATTCCACCGTAACGTTCGTGCATATCTACCAAATTCCAAATTACACGGCGTCGCATCCCAGAAGACAGTAATCTTGAAGCACGAGCTACTTACATATGCCCAGAACCAAATTAAACAGAAATCTATTTAGTCATTTCGACGAAAAAATCTCCGCTGCACGTACACTATATGATGTACTTCGTGGAAATGTTACATACAGCCCGGGTTTTTAGATCTGACCTCTGGGTTGCGCATGATACAGCAGGCAGTGGGCAGCGGTTGCAGTTGCACAAGTAAGTACCTGTTATAGCCGATACACATCCTACAGTCCTTACCTCTGTTAGTGAACTCGACCAAATCCACTGCGCATTCTGTCGGGAGTGGCCGGGACTAGAAGCACGAACAGTAAGCAAAGAAAACAAGACACGTCAGAATTATTCCTAACATTCTGATAAGGGCGGAAAGAATTTTTGACGACACCATGCCGACAGTCTATTAATGCCATCTAACTGGTATTCTTGAGAAGCTGACAGTCGCTCAGCCAGTCAAGAAATACTCCGGAACCTAAAAATTCGTTACAGTGTTCAAGAGGGCCCACCACTGGACCCAGCAGTTGTATCCAGGCCCCACCCATACACGCTTCAAATTTCAACTGCAACATAACATTTTTCTGTACGGTAATACAAGCGTCAACATGTTGCCTGAAATTAAGTTATACAATACGTCACGAACGACAGAGTAGTCTTTTCATTCTGTTTATCCTGTCTCTACTGTGAGTATTGAAGTATTTTAATGTGGAGATAGAGTGTAGTATACTATATAAATGATACGATTTAAGATTGACTATTTGTGTGCGTTATTCGTGGGAGATGGCGTTAAACATCGGTCTCGACGTTTCATTCGACTGGGAAGGAATGTAGGAGAGATCAGGGGAAGTTAATAGTACGAAAGCTTATATACAAACGACCAGATTTTCCGTTTCTCAACGGGAGTTACACAAGTCGTTACATAATCACTGCAATTTTTCGTACTATTTATAATTGCTATCTTATTAAAAGTTCACATTAACATATCTTATATTATCAGTTTTGTGTTCTTTTATGGTATAGACATAATTTTAAGGAGCAGTTCACAATATACGGAACGTAAAAGAAAAAATAAAGTAAAGCTATCCCTGTAACAGGCCGCTGAGGCCCACAGGGTTGTGAGGCGTCGAGGCTCCCACATTTTCTCTAGACAATCGGCTCACAGATGGCGGTGAGATCGTCAGGCTTACGCGCCGGCCAGCCGCCCTTTACCCCAAGAAGATTCCTGGTACTCATTTCTGCTACAGGCTGAGTCGGCCCCAAGGCCATAGTGCGGCTGGAAGGGTTGGGTCAATTGAAAAATCCAATAACCTCATCGGGAAACGAACCCACGACCAACTGGCTTGTAGCATAGTGTCTCAAACAACTACGCTACTGCGTGCTTAGATGTACTTTTTATGAATTTCTTACGAACCTAACGCGTATCACCCACTTTGAACCCTCCCACAGAGAAGTTCATAAACATTAATCGTTGACGGGCGTAAATATGGATTATTACTATCTGCATTAGATTCATTTTAATATTATCATCCAATCCCAAATGGTCCCATCGTTGCAGGTTTTCCAACTACAATTCCGAATTAACACAAACAACTTCGTTTCTGTGAAAGTTTTGAGGTTTTCACGGCGATGACTATGAAGAAGTCGTCTTCTGGGTTTTGGCGCCGTGTATTCTTCGTTTTAGCCGACGTTTCGGAGGAACGTATCGCCTCCATCTTCAGCGCAACCTCCTAGTGCTATTGACCTCCAGTTTCCTGGATTCACTGGCCGTTCCCCCCCCCTTAGCACACAACACCATATATGGCCTTAATCGCTCTCCACTGCTCCTATTGGTCCGCTCTCCCTAACCACCCCCCCTGCCTACTTCCTACATAAAGCAGCGCCTTTCACTTCCTAATCATTACAGCTACTGCTCTCTGCATTCACAAGCCAATTCGCCTGCTCTGAAGATGGAGGCGATACGTTCCTCCGAAACGTCGGCTAAAACGAAAAATACAAGGCGCCAAAACCCAGAAGACGACTTTCTTCAACTTCGTTTCTGTTTTTAAACATACTTACTCATGGAGCTGAGCCCTTCTGGAGGAGCTGTCAATTCTGCAGCTACTCAAGAATTTCCCAGCATTTTATGGAATCCGAGGGTTCATTACCGTGTTCACAAGAGCCCTACACTGGTCCCGATCCTGAGCCAGATCAATCCAATCCATACCATCCCATCCTATCTCTCTAAGATGCATTTTAATATTGTCCACCCATCTACGCCTTGGTCTTCCCAGTGGTCTTCTGTTTATAAAAAAAACAGTACATGTATATAAAGGATGATAGATTCATTCAAGGAATATTTCAACGGACGTCGCCAGGAAATTGAATAAGCCAGGCAACTGCCTCCCATATTTCGAAAAAATAACAAAAAACAAATACTTAAGATTAATAGCAAAAATTAAAATTATTTTTAATATGAAGTCCTGGGAAGTACTCGCCTACTTCCCTTGATGCGACACAGACACATAGAAAACGACGCCTCTAAAATTTCTTCTATTGTTGTATGTGTATTCGTTAATGCGGTAATGTTTTTATTGAGCCGTTACCTTGCAACGATGGGAGCGGGATACATATACAGACACAGACTGACGGGAGGGATTTACGAAGTACGCCGTTGTGATGAACTCAGGTGCTATGATATACATACCAATTTTCATAAAGATTGGTTTTGCCACTCAGAACTTGATAGGGGGATACACAGATATGATCGCATATGCCTACTTTTATTTCCTTAACAAAGAAAGTAGGCTAAAAATTACTCCAATAAACACCAATCAAGAGATCTACAAGTTATGAGGATCCGTAAAAATAGTTAAAAGGGCCTGAACATTAACTTGTAAGCAATACTGCAGCTGACCCCTTCTGGAAACTGAAATCTGGCGACGCAAATGCATGCATCCGAGTCACCGGTTTTCTGAACGATTTGAGACGTGTTTTATATTTTAAGGATGGCCACCCTGAAACTATCAGTGTTTTGTCACTATCGATAAATGCGATGACGTCAATGTAAGGGTACAAGTGCTCACCAGCACTCACCAGTTAGGCCATTCAGTCACCACGTACAACCGAATCAATCGGACCATTCCACCTGCTGTTCTCCGCACGGTACGTACCAGCGCAACAGCTACCTATATTATAAGCCCATATTATCGGAGTTGAGTCCCTGAGAGGCTAACAACTTGCTCACCTATTCCAGAATTGACCAATATTTTATAGAATCCGTGTGTTCACTGCCGTGTTCAAAACAGACCACCTCTGGTACCTATTCTATGCGAGATAATTCCAGTTCACGAGCTCATATCCCAGTTTTAGGCATAATTATGATTATCCAATCAACATGTAATAATTTCTAAGTGATCCTTTTCAGTTATTCCTATTAAAATTTTGTATGCATTTCCCTTTTGTCCTAAGCCCGCGTCACACGCCCCTTCAATCTGACCATACTGGATTTACGAATATAATCCTTATAATATCTGAAGAGAGGCAATGGTTATGAAACTCCTCAGTGAGCAGTTTCCTCCGTTTTCCTTTCTTATTCCCACTCAGGTTATATACTCTCCTCGACATCCTCCTCAATCCACGTTATTCCCGTAGGTTTCACATGCAGTTCTGTACTTTTTTTTTACGTTTTTAGATAACCGGGCGAGAAGACTAAACATTCTGAGCTGAACGGCAACAAGCATTCCCCGCGGCTAATCTGATATTAATGACTTCAGTTTATTAGTATCGTACCCATACATCCGAACTTGCCGCATTTTACAAATATCTAGTAGCCTTCTTCACTTTATGATCTTGTCTTGTATTCTGGTGATGAGATATCGTTACGTCATTATTAGAGAGTTTTTTTGTTTTGTTTTTTTTCCTTGGCACTACAGCCCCAGTGGGCCTAGGCCTACTTCAATGAACTTCTCCATTCACTTTAGTTTTTCTAGATCTTACACATTATTAGAGAGTTACTAGATTATATTTCTCAACGTATGATGGGAAACGAAGTCGCTATATCGGAGATCTTGCTGAACGCACGAACGTTTATTCCGTAAGGTTGCCTACTCAAAGCACGACGTCCACTGACGGACGTTGCTGAAATGTACACACACAAAACTGAAGGACGCAAAATGACAGTTCCTCCCAGCAAAAGGCAATGTCTGGTGTTGTGCTGGGAGACAGAATCATTTATTCCATTGCAAAGACGTTACCGGCGGCAATATGAAGAACTGCTTGGAAGGCAGTCCATCAAGCGATGGCTGGAGGTTTCAAGACACAGGTATGGTGTCCTGCATAAGGACGGCGCAGGGCAGGCCTTCAATATAAGCCGGCACAAATTACACATTCGATATGCTCGAGTTAGTTACAGTCCCGTAGATAGAACACCTTTAACCAGGCGTTTTTTTTTTCAATAAGATTTTGCCCCTCCACACTGGGGTCTTACACTGAGAGAGTCTCTGAATAAAATCTTTCCAAACATATGGATTGGGCGGGACGGACCAATCTCCTCACCACCTCGCTCCCCCGATATAATCCCAATGGAATTTTTTTTTCGGACCACGCAAAGCATCAGGTATTTCGTTCCAAAGTGAGTGGTGTGGTTGAATTTCGTGCAAGATCAACAGTGAAGTTGCTTCTGTGACAGCCCAGATGCTGGAAAACACATGGCTTGAAATCCAGTACCGTTCGGCCATTCTGCATGCTACAAATGGCGTCCACGCTCAGACGAGTTGTTGGAAGTAGTGGGGTTCTGGACCTCGTTCATAGTTCTGTATCCTAAGAGACACTGAAGGACACACCGTTTCGGAAACTGGATCTGTTTCCGTCTTCAGGTGAGGAGTTAGACTTCTGCTCTGTTGGGTCCGTTAGAAAGAGCTAACTTCAATCACTGGACAACCTATGTCCGTATAACTATAGTATATACACGCCAGAGACCAGGCTTTGTCAATGGCAGATGATAGGAAAAATGTACAAAAAAAAATGTAATGTAGCATGCACAGACCTGAAACTAAGATGGAAGAGGAGGCAGAAATTTTATCCAACAAACCAAGTCCATGAAAACCAATGCACAGGATTAATTGGAGAATTTCATATTGTGAAATCATTTATTGCCTACCACTGGCGTCATCTGTGAAATAAAAACTGAATCCCAGGGAATAAAATCACATAGGAGTAGAAACTCACGAAGAAGCTGTCAGATCATGCTGATCTCCCTTGTGAGTTTCTAACCTAATCTACTTGATGGGTTGTTATTTCAAGTAAAGCAAGCCAATTTTTTGCACGTCATATACTACGTGTTGTGTGCGCTTGAAATGTGATGAATAAGTTGTGGCCACCCTGTATTTCTCCAAACTTCTCTCGTCACACTGCTCCGAAAGTCTTAAAAAAATGAGAACATTTGAGATGGTGTTTCAATCGGGAACACAAAACCACACAGTTCATATGGCGACATTTCTGTACTACACGAATGTCTTGTCTACTTGCGAGAATCTGTCCAGAAACAGGCCTATTACTGCGAGCGGAATAGTGAGAATATTAAAGGCTATTATATTGGTTGCGTTTCGCATTCTTCGAAAAACGATGTGTTCAGATCCGAGCTACATGCGTCAAGAAGGAACAACCCATAACAAACACCCTCCCATGGCTACCTAGGTCTCGCAAGTTCTTCGGGTTGGATGCTACGATGGTCCACCCATCACAGTGGCTGCGCGGTCTAAAGGGGCCCATAGACGTACGAGTCTGGATCGTGAGTCCGGCTCGGATTAATTTCACCACAAACGCATGAGCTGACTCCCAAATTTGCGACCCACACACGGACGAGTTTGGCTCATTGGAACCCGAGCCGAGTCGGACTCACGAGCCAGATTCGTATGTGTATGGGCCCCTTAAGGTATGAACCGTCTGCGCCCGCTCGAACACTGGGATCGTGGGTTCGAATTCCACTCCAAGCATTAATGTCTGTGTGCGTTTATTCTGTGTTTGTGTTGTCCTGTGTGTAGGTAACGGCCTTGCGACGGGACTGATCCCCAGTCCAGGGAGTCCTACTGACTCTATATAGATTAAGAAATTGAAAAAGAGCGGCCAAGGTCCACAAGGGCTGTACAGCTATACATAGGATGGTCCTCTAGAACCAACTGGAAAATTTCCGCCAAGATATATGAAGTTGGGAAATGAAGGCATAGCATAGCATAGACATTCTGGTGTATTCTCTCACGTCTGTTCCATTGCATCGAAAATCACGATAACTGCAGGAACATGCATTTGATATAAAATGGGCGTGTCTTTCCTCTTTACTACGTTCGTTTGTTTGTAGCTCAGTTTAACGAATGACGCTCCAGTAAAGCTCGAAATGAGCGAGTGCTCATTTCTTCTGCCCGATTTTAACCAAAACCGGAATGTGCTGCAAAAAATATAGAAAAAACATCTGAATATGGGATTAATAAAAGTTCTCTCATCGGTTCGTGTGTTGCTTTATGCAGACAAATGTACGTACATACATGGCGAGCTGAACAGGTTCCTTGCTGCAAGTTTCCGTTGTCAACTCGACAAAAAGTCTGACTGACATGAAAGAAAGGGTAAAAGGTAAACTTTTCCCTGTGCTTAAATAATTAATCACTACGCCTTGAAGACATAGAGGAGGAGTGAAAGTATAGCTCCATCTTTCTCGACCTCGGCACTAGCTGGAGGTGAGTGTTTAGCTTCACGGCTTGGTCGCTTTACCCGTAGGGAAACAGCCCCTGGTACCCACTGGGTAGGGGTTGGGTGGGCACCAGACCCGATCCACGGTACAAACAGCAGGAAGTAAAAATGAAGGAAAGAAACAGAGAAAGGGAGAAGTGAAGACGAAACATTTTATAAAAGAAATAAACAATGAAAAATATTGAGGGAAGGAAGGAAGTCGTAAAGGAGAAATAAAAAAAAAAAAAAAGAAAAAAAAAAAAGGAAGGAAACGTAGTGGGAGAAAGCAAAAGATAGAACAAAGAAAGAAACTCAGACCGCCCAGATATAACTACCCTCTCACAACTTCACAAAACTGGTATTTACACTCTCTCTAATTTGCTGTCATTTTCTCTTACCTGATGATGGCCATAAAGAGGCGAAACATGTTGCAATATAATACATAGTTTATACACGAATTCAGGTGACGGAACCAATGATAAGTTGTTGGGTTTCAGTTTTTCATAGCAGTGACTATAAAAATACCGTCTTTTTGGATGCGGGACCGTGTAGATCTTGTGTGAACCGACGTTTCGGAGGATCATATCGCCTCCATTTTCAGGGAAGAAAAATCAGCGAGCGAAGAACCAGCGTGAGCAAGTGGCTAGCAGATTACCACCTGCTCACTCTGGTTCCTCGGTCGCGGATTTTTCTACCCCGTAAATTGGACGGGATACTGTCCTCCGAAACGTCGGTTCACACAAGATGTACAGGGCGCCACATCCCAGAAGACGGCATTCTTCAATAATAAAAAAAAAGACGCTGAAATATATTATTCCTATTAACAAGTATAAATATGGCGAAAAATCCCTTGGCAATCAGATACTTGAAATACTTGGGCCGAGAACGGAGATTGGTATGAGAACGGACTTTAATTCAAAGGTCCCCACAGAGAAGAAATCATTTCGATTTACCTGGAGCATAAGACACACCCAGCCTGTAATACGTTGAAATATGTACGTAGTATATTTCTATTCAGATAAGAGACACTCATCATCATCAGTAATCTGTCAGACGACAGGTCCACGGTCTCTTCCAAAACAATTCCTCCACTTAATGCGATCTAGAGCTTTCTCCTTCAAATGACAGTATCCTCTTCTGTCCCCAAGGTCATCCAGCATCTTCTTACGTCTTCTTCCTCGTCTTCTTGTCACTTCTATCCGCCC